AAAATGATGCGGATTATTTCTAATCTTATTTTTTTTTATTTTCATTATTTTGATGATTCGATCACATTGACGAAATTAAGTTAAATATCATTTTTTTTTTCTTGTTAATACGAAATTCATATTATTTACGTCTTCTTACTTAAACTATGTTTATTTATTTATTACTATACGTCTAATTTCGGGACGTATTTTATATTCTAAGTAAAATTTCATTGACTTTAAAAAAGAAAAGAAATCATCTTTTTGTCAAGAAAATATACAAAAACTTTGGAAAAACAAACAAACAAAAGAAATTCTAATAATATGCACAAAGAATCTGACATGAAATTATTCACACTTTTGTGCATAAAAACATCAAATCAAATCATAAAAATATCAAAAACATTATTTAACATAAACTACAACATTTTTTTTCTTAGTTTTCATCACTACCAGTATTGTTATCCATTTGATTTTGATATTGATTTTCTAATTCTTTCAATTTTATTTGCTGTTTTTTTACCATGTCGACAATCGAATCTGTTAAATGATCAGCTCTCAAATATCGTTTGGATTTGAGCTGTTTTCGACAACTTGGACATTGTTTATTATCTGACTGAAGCCATCTTGATATACAATCATTACAAAATCGATGAATACATTGAATGGTAGCCATTGTATTCGTTAAAAAATCTAAACATATAGGACTAGAATAAAAAAAAAATATAATGTCATTGATTATTTTTTTTTGACAATCATCTTTTATCCACATACCAACGTAAACTTTTCAACACAGGATCTAATGGAACTCGAACAATGCTGTTATCATACACTAACGTTTGTGGTTTACGTTGTATATCGTATGAATTTAATTCATAGAAAAATGGTTCATTATCCGTTTTATCACTTGGACGATTCGTCATTTTAAATTTCTGAAAATAAGATAGTTTTAGTTCAGAATATATTTTATACGATATTTGTTTTTAGCCAAAGTGTTTGGAACACATAACGGATTTCAGACTGTTCAGAGGTGAAATTCGAACAATAGAGTTTTTAACAGGAAAATTAAGATTCAAAATATATTAGTTTTTCTTTATCTTAATTTTGCTTTTCTTAAACTTCACTAAGCTTTTGATATCGTTTTTTTCTTAAATAAAATATCAAAATAATAACAAGACAAATTCCATTTTTGAAAGGCGAATGCGTACATATTTTTCGCAATAATGTTCTTGACATATAGAGTGGCAAGGAAACTTGAATAGACACAAGAAAAATAGTCCCGATTCCAACGGGAGTAACATCGAGATCATATGAAAAAATTTTGATGCCAAGAGGCTGTTAATTTTCGAAAACAGGACGTGTTTCCTTTTCAGTACCTATTTAGTTCTCTTACGACCTTCACTTCTGTATTTTAAATCATTTATGTAGCTTCAGTAAATAAATGAACTGTCTGTTAAGATTTCTGATTAAAAAAATCTTGAGAGAAGCAAAATCAGTTGTTATTAAGCTCAATTGAGCCAAAAAGCAGAAAAAAAGATTGTGAACTAATGAATTAAGGGAAATAAAATGATTTATTCTTAATGACGACAAAACACAGAAAAACTACAACTCTTATTCATTGAGTATAACGAGTAGTCAAAAGCAAAATCCAGAAATAAAGCCTTTCTCTGAATTTTCTACAAAAAATCAGGAAGAATCTCATTCTTTAGTAACTGTTTCATCTTGGACACAGTGTGTTATTCGTATATTCTTAGCAAAATGCTTAAACAAGAACATGTACTAGATTAATTGAAGTAAGAACATAGTCGAACACAAATGTTGAAATCACTCTATACATTATCTCTCGTTCAGCAAATCACACCGTACAAAGCAAAATGTTACCGCCAAGTTTTATAAACTGATCAACGAAAAAAAGAAGCTACCGTGCATTGTAACACACAAATCTGGAAGGAAGGACAGCAGAATCTCGAATGAAGAGAACAAGTGATCTTATCCATATTAGTTTGAATCTCATTTTCCTCTCATTAAATCATAATGTTATTTAATCTTAAAAATATCTTATTTTTTATATATGTCTTATTTATTAATTATTGTTATATCTCTTATTATTCACAACTCATTTGCAGGTATTGACGAGATACTTAAATTAAGATCTTTCTCAGAAATACTCTAAATTTTAGAATATTCAAGTCCAACATATTGTCACTGTTATTCAGAATTCAATGGTTTGTAATTGACATTCTCATCTCTTTTATTGATTATCGTTTCAAGAACTCTTTTTTTGTCCTAGGATATCATATTATATGTAGAAATGCCAAACTTGATCATGTTACATATGAATTAATTATGTTTATTAAATATAATAAACAGCAAAATATCATACTTGATTTAAGCTATAATTATTTAACAACTATTCCATGTGATCTTTTACAAATAAATACCATCATCACATTAAATTTAGCCAATAATCATTTTCAACACATAGAGGAAGAACGAACAAAAAATTGTTTTCCATTATCAAATATACAAACATTAATATTGAGAAATAATTATTTGACATTAGATAAACAAATAAATGAAAATTCTATGTTAATTTCAAGTTCAAAATTATTAAATCTTGATATATCCTATAATAAACTTACTCAATTACCACGTACATTTTTATCAAAATTACGAAAATTACGTACAATAGATATTAGTGGACAAACAAATTTATTAACACAACAAAATTATCAATGGTTATTAAGTTTTCCAGTTCGAAATCAATTATCATTAATTATCTGTGATTCTTCCTATGAACTACCAATTTATTTATTTGAAAATTTATTTGAATATTCAAAATTATTATCCATTGAATTAAATAATGATATTAATTGTGATTGTGCTTATAACATATTACCATTGGATAAAATACGCTTTAATAATACATGTAATAGACAACAAAAACCCGTATGTAATTCGTTATCATCTAAATTTGAACAAAATCAATCACTGAACAAACTAAATATGAAAAAATATACAACACAATGTATAAAAGAATATCAGTCATTTTCAAACGAGAGAGAAACAGTACGACAAGATATACGATCATCCAATATCAATCAACAATTGGTCACTACCACAGAATCACTATCCTCAACGATATTAACAAATTCTATTAGAAACACAGTAATAACGACATTCATTGAAACTAGTCAAAACATCTATGATGATATAAATATAGCGAATGAAATGTTTATGACAACGACCATCAAAGTCGACAAACAAATGAAGAAATCATTATCCGTTGGATTGATTGTATTCATTATTCCAATGTTTCTTATTCTTCTGATCGGCTGTGTGTGGTTCACTTACAAAGGATATGTGAATAAATTATTAAATATTGGTAGAAGTAAAATTAATACAAGGAACAACTATCAAATAAACAATGATAATAATAATAAACAATCACAAATAAGTAAGAACAATGTTGACATTCAAATACTTCCGTCTTGTATTTTCTATTGTTTTATTTATATCTTATAGCAAAAATTGCAGATGACTGTCTGAATGAAAATTCAAAAATGACTGTAGAAAATGAATATTTTTGTAATACAAATGCAATAGATATGAATCAAATACGTTTTGATAATAATTCTGGTAGAAGTAACAATATGATAAATGAAACACTTCACAGCAACATCTCGTCGTATTCATTTCATCAACATCATCACCGTTCATCGTTGACTATACCAAGTACATCTAATAACAGTTTTCATACAATACACGACGATAAAGAACAACAAAATAATAACCATTATTCAATAGCTCATGAAACTTACGAGAATGAACAATCATCAATAAAAAGTTTTTTTAATTTAAAAAATAATAATAGACGATTAGTGAAATCGTCGTTACTAACTGATGATGGAATAAGTAATCAGTTGTCGAGAACAAATAATACAACTACGACAAGAAAAACATATTCAAACGATAGTTTAACAGTATCTTTGCTCTCCTATGCGACTATATCAGTATCTAGTGGTAATTTTTCTAGATCATTTTCATCTACATCATGAATAAATAAAAAGCCAAACTAATGAAGACTTTTCCAAATACACCATTTCTTTTTTTGAAATTCAATATTTTTTCAACTTTTCTTTTCCACTTCTTTTGTCAGCTTCTCTAAGAACAGTGTGATGAACTAGTATTGAAGTCAAAATGCAGTGCGTTCTGGAACGTTTTGAATAACTTTTCAATATACAAAGATGAAAATTTGCAGTTTTCATCTGTCGAAAAAGAAGGCTTGGAGGAGCAATCTTTTCATTAAAAACTTGTTAAAAAATAACCACCTGCAGGTGTATCTGACAAATCTTTTTTGATTCAACTGTCACTTCAAAAATTCTTTCAACTCAAATTATATGGTTAGATAGCTCAGAATGTTTTGTTTTATCGATCTGCACAAGTCCAAGGTCGGTAGCTGTTTCCGATACGAAGAGGCTCAGTTTTGCTGGAACAGACCTATCTCCTTATTTTCAACTCTGGGATCCTCGAAAATAACTGAAAACAGAAGTTACGAACCACACTGAATCTTGTGGTAACGGTTGTTTTTCAAGAAAGTTACACAAACCTAGTGAAAATCTATATTAGGTGAGATCATCCATTTTTGCCTATTTTCACGTAAAACTAGAACATTCATAACTCAGTCAAAACCTCTCCAAACTACGTCCGAATATCGAGAAATACTCTATTTTATCTAAACTATATTATGGAGTTCGACAAAAGTTTTAAAAATCAATAGAAAATACTTTGATTGAGCAAATAAAATAGAGTTTTGACTGAGCTAATTTTATGTGAAAATAGGCGAAAATGGATGATTATAGGCAAAACTGAGTTCACTCCATATCGGAAACAGCTGCCGACCTTGGACTTGTGCAGGTCGATAAAACAAAACATTCTGAGCTATCTAACCACATAATTTGAGTTGAAAGAACTTTTGAAGTGACAGTTGAATCAAAAAAGATTTGTCAGATACACCAGGTGATTATTTTTTAACAGGTTTTTAATGAAAAGATTGCTCCAAGCCTTCTTTTTCGACAGGTGAAAACTGCAAATTTTCATCTTTTTATGTTGAAAAGTTATTCAAAACGTTTCAGAGTGCACTGCATTTGACTCCGATACTAGCTCATCATGTCCAAGGTAATTATTCGGAAAATTGCAATGTTAATGAAGAGCCAAACTTAAGAAGCGTTTTGAGCGACTTATAATAATAAATCAAATTTTTTTTAATGCGGCATTTTATTTCAGTTTAATACTGTCTATACAGAAAACATATAAAAAACAAAACAAACGTGAGATTAATATATATATATATATTGAAAATGAGAAAAAAAATTTGATTAATGTCACTGCACATCAGAAGTAACTCCACAATAGTGGAAAAAAGTTGGACGTTATTACATGAAAAAATTCATTTGCTAATTCATAAAGAAAAAATAGCATACTATTTAATTAAATTAGAACAACATGCAGCTAGCTGAGGTTTTTGCTAATAGCTGTAGTGTAAAAACATCATCAATATTCTTAAATTTTATGTCTAGTGTGCGTAGAATTTAGTATGAGTACTTTTTGCATCTGACTTCTGAAAATAAGTCAATAAGAACTACATTATCTGACTAATAACTTAGTTTCACAAATACCTGAAGTGTAAACATTGAGCGAAGAAAATGAACAACGATAAAAAAAGTTGTATAAAAGAAGAAAATACAATGTAGAGAAAAAAATATAAACAACGAGTACACACACAAACACGTTGATGATCAAAACGTATCAGAAAAAGAAGAAGAGATTTGATCAAGTCTTAGTGTAATGAAAAAACAAAAAAAAAAATTATCTGATGTCAAAAATAAGCAGATCAAACAGTAGGTGCACATAATTAGGTATTCCGAAAAGCTGCTCAGAATAAATTTTTTTCTAGACTTAAAGAATGTTCGAATGTTCATTCATAGATTAAATTCATTATTCTTGTTTAAAGCTTAGTTGATCTGACCTAAATGTAAATATGTCTCGTTTAGTAGAGTGTCATGAAATAATAGTAAAAAAGATGAGCTAATCATTTATACTTTCATCGCTGTCAGCGAGACAGCAAGAGATCTCAATTCAAGTTCATGCTGTCTGAGGTCACTATGTGTACATAAATATATCATTAAGATGATACAGTTTTTAAGTGATCCACCATCTTGTAAAAAAAAACTTACTTGAAAATAAAACAATGTTCAAGCGTAAAATTCTTGTGGACTCTTAGAATAACCGTATTGGTTAGGATACAATAATCCTGTTGTATACGAAGAAGACGATTTTTCTCCTAAAGCATTCAAATATAGTTGTCAATTATTGAAGGTTTAAACTACAAGAAAAAAACTTACGTCGCCGAAATCTTCGTACAATGCATATGAGTAAAATTAACGATGTCATAATTCCGATACCGAGACCTAGTGAAGAAAGAAAAATAGAAACAAACATTCATAGAGTTAAGAATTCCAATTTGATAAATTCGAATGCATTTGCTTCAAAACATGCATGATGCATAAGTTGCCAAGCTTCTTACCACACAATACTCCGGCCGCAATTGCTGGTCTTGTCAAGAAATTAAATAATACCCATATCGGTGTATGGTGAACAATATGATTATTTGATGTTGTTATTTTAATTATAGACGTTGTCGACGTTTTTGAAGGAAGCGTTTTTTCTCCTTCATAATAATCAGTTTCATCATCCTGACCATGATCTTGATCATCATAAACTTCCTCTTTAAATTCATCATCTTCGCTATTCGAATTGTTCAGCGTCTTCGGCGTCGTCTTTGTCCATCTATTCGTGGTAGAAAAATACACTTTAACTGTTGTTGTTGTTGTTGTTGTAGTAGTTGAATTATATTTGTTTTCATTTATAGCTGTTGTTTTAAACAATATATCATCATCTTCATAGTCATCATCTAGACTACTACTGCCTTCTTGGCTACTCCCTTCTACGCGATTTTCATCATTTTCTAGTAAAAGTTGATCTGCATCAAATTTCTTCATCGATTTATCATCTCGATCATATAATTGTACTACATTATTATTGTTTTTATTAGTGGTCTGATTTTGTTGAGCATTCAATGAGTCATAAATGAAAACACACAGAAAAAACAAAGAATATATGTTCATTATTTTAAAACTAATTTTGTCAAATTACTAAATCTAAAAGAGAAAATAAATAGATATAAATGAAGAAAAAACACTTGGAGAAGTGTCAGAGTGAGATAGTTATCATAAAAATTGAGTCCCATATGGCTTGTGTTCCTCCTTCTTTTATTTATTTCTAGTTGTCTCAAACTCTAGTTTAATTTTTTTATTTATTGTTGTTCGCTTTGGTATTAGTCAGTACAAGTGTAGATCTGAGACCTTTAATGAATGAGAAAATAAAAACCTTTAAAAATCGTATGACACACTGGTCGTCCACTGAGTTCGTCTTATCGCCAGTCGATCATCGAATTACTGACTTTTTGGTAAGTGTGCACAGCAGAAAAGTGTACGATATACTATGCAAACATTAATGATCACGATTTGAAAGCTTTATCATCTAACAAGTTTACTAAATTTGTAGAACGTATTCAAAATGATGATCACCACACACTGTGTTGTAATGATTATCGTTAACTATTAGACTCTTTAGAATAGTTCTGTAATAGTTCTTTGACTATTGTAGCACAATTGATTAGACTATAACAAACAAAACAAAATGCAGAGAGGAGATCACCATTTACCTGATAGGAGCGCCACGGATTGGTCGGCGCTGCGATTGTTATAGTCCATTCCTAAATTCATTGGCGAAACTAAAGCACTTAGGCGTTTAGCCGAGGAAGCGCATATAAGAACTCTGATGTTGTTGCAAATTTTGGTCTTTTTTTTCGACCAACAAATTTCTTGTATTGTATTAAACAGGGATTTCGAACGTGTGCAATCGTATCATTGTTGTCGACGTTATGACTGAGGTAATGGCACCCTGAGGTATAAGACGCCTATTTTCATCCTAAGTTAAGACTAAGACTGTTTATTCACGAAAAGTGAGAGTCATCAAAGGTCATCGACCTGTAGTAATAATGACTCAAGCCAAACAACACCAAGATTAATAAAAAGAACAAAATAAAGAAGATAACTAAGGTTAGAATTAAAAGTAGTAAAAAACAAAAAAAAAATTTTAAAAAAGTATAAGCAAAAAAGAACAAATATTAATTCTTACATGACAAACGTTTCACTGGAAGAGATACTGAACTAAAGCTGTTTTGAAAGACGCTAAAGAAGAAAGACAAATAACTGACTCTGGGAGATTATTCCAATCAGCAGTAGTAGAATAAAAAAAGAAGAATGCACCTTTGCGGAGAATAACCATCAACAGAAGATGGAACGCAAACATATTTAGAGTGATGAGGACGTAAAGATGTGTAGTGAGGACGATGAATAGTATCAGAAAGAGAAACAGGACTTAGATGATGATAAATTTTGAAAAACTATAGAAGTCTAAAGTATTTACGACGAAGAGTGAGATTTGGAAGAGAAAGTTAAGACGCAAGTAGAGAACTAGACGAACGATAGTCAAAATTGCGACAAATAACACGAGAAGCAAGTTTGCTTACAGAATCAAGAACAGTAAGAGAAAATAAACTGTTATACAAGGCACAGTAATAGTAAATTTTAGGAAGAATAGAAGAAAGGTAGATTCGACGCCGAACTTCAGTTGGAGCTAATCCAAAGACACGATTCGATGTTCCAGGCTTGCGCCGACAAGCAAGATGCCCTTGGCATGATTATTCCACCACGGTTGTGCGAAACAAGAACACCAAGACAACGAACAGAAGACAACAGAGAGAGAAGCACCATTGAGATACAATTGATTATAAACATACGGAAAGAGGTTGAATGAGAAAGGAAGCCAACAACATTTAGAAACATTTAAAGACATGAGATTGGAAGAAGACCAGTGAGAAACAGAGTTTATACAGTTTCTTCAGTAGAAAAAAAATGAGAATCCTAATGAATGTACTTGTTTACCTATATTTCTGCGGGTATCTGGAAATCACTTGATAAATGCTAATCAAACTTGGTAAGTATTTTCGTAAAATGTCAGTTGGTAATCTATGCGTACCTGGTCTAAGTACGCGAAAGTATACGACTTTCGGAATAGAGGGTCTTGTAAGTGAGTGAGAATGATGTTTCATCTTTTTAAACTGTTTTTCCCGAACAAATTGCTTTTAAGATAGAAGAGAAACTAAGAAGAAAGAAACATTAATCATACACAATCAGCGTTGCCACCGACCTTCGGAAGTCCGAAAAGCGGAAAAAAAATCCGAAAGAAACGAAACGGTAAAAGGTTTTTACGCAAATTGAGAAAAAACGGAAAGCATTTTTTTAACTTCTCGACGCGTTTGTAAAGGGAAAAACCATTAGTCATAATAAAGATGCATTTTGAAATCAGCAGATTCAGGAAGGGTAGTGATTTACTTTATATGGATCAATTCATTTACTCAATCATTCACTTTATAGATGCACTAATAGAAAATAAAGTTTGTCTAAAGTGATTGCATTCAATCAAGGTCGGAAAATACAAAAGCTGGAAATAAACCTAAAAAGTGGCAAATATTTTATTGATTACTTTAGTAAATTAATAGAAAATAAAGAAATTAATTAGCTGTTTATTTATCTTTTTCTTTATTTATGTGCTTTGAAAATCAGAGTTTTGGTTTCTTAGCCAGCCATATTTCGTTTTTATTTATATTCTTTCTTGTGTTTTCTGTAGTAGAAGTAATAAACCCAACCTTTGTTATACGTTGTTAAACAGCTTTTTCCTCGCCTTCTACGTTTAGCTGCTCTGGTTTTATATTCAGTGACTCTTTTATACAGAGTCAATTTCGTTGAAATCACGACGAACCTTGAATGACACTCACACATTTTGAGTAGGATAAAACGTCAATAAGAAGAATCATTATTATTCTCAAAGTTTATTGTGCCTAAGACACTTAGACAAAGTAACAATATGTAAGTATAATGACAGCATTATTTTTTGGTGAAGATTTAAAATTTCCTCTGAAAGAGCGAAAATGAGTAGTAGTATGGAGTAGTGCCGAGATATGACGAGCTGGTAAATTCGAATGACGCAAATGATGATGATTTTTATTTTAATTTTCATTATACACTAATCGATAAACAAAAATAAATCAAAACAAAAAAAAAGAGAAAATGAATATTAAGCAAAACAACACATATTATCAGTTTTTAATTGTATTTATCGTGAACAGAAGCATGAAATGCACAAAAATGCGCATACTTATCACATTAGACTAGAGTTCGATGAAACAAACTTGTTCAAAATGTAACCTTTTCTACCGGAATAAAACCTGCATCACCTAGAAATAAAAATATAGTTTAGAACAGTAAACTAGAGTATAGGTTTTTCATTACATACCAATATTCTTCAATATGACGGTTCCGTCTGCCAGTACAGTTATTTGTGTAATACTTCCATGATTGAGTGTGATTCTCAGCCAAGCTTCAGCTGGAAACTGCATAACTCTACAAAATAACTGAAATCAATAGAAATATTCATACAAGAGGAAAAAAGCTTGCTATTAGTGAGTGGTACACATACTTGCAGATAAAATATCGTAGAAGATTAGCATGAAATACTATAATATCATGAGTATCAGAGCTCTGAGATGGCATTGCTCGGTGAAAATATGTTCGAAAAGCATGATCAATGCGGGATTTATCTCCATACATCTAAATATTAAAAATTAGTAGATGATATTAAAATACAGTTAAACAGATGTAATAGACAACCAAGTATAATTCATTCACCTCAACATCTTTTTGAGATATGCCAGCATATGGTTCAGGAGCAATCGGTAAACCTTCTGTTAAATTTTTATCTTCAGTCAATTCTATTGTTTGCTGTAAATTTTCTGTAATTATTTCAGCAGTTTCTCGAGCACGAACCATTCCAGAATGTATTAAACGATTGAATTTAAGTTTCATTTCATTTAACCGTTTACCAGTATAAACTGCCTGTTCTCGACCTTAATAGAAGAAAAAAAAGTAGTGTAAAGCGTAGTTGTGAATTATGATATCCTCATCCCAGTCTTTCACTCATTATCCTTAAATATCTAAGAAGATTCGCATCCATTTCGATCAGTCAAAATACCTAATGGTGTCAATTTCATATCCGACAGTTGTTTTGCATTATCGTAATACTGGCCATGTCGTATTAAATAGAGATTTCTTGATGATGAACCGCGTGTTGTTAGACTTAAAAAAAAGAAAAGAAACAATTAGTATGATATTAACTAAACGTGGAAAAGGAAAATAGTTTAAATTTGTTAACGAATAATAAAAAAATTACCCGATGAACAGCATTCGTGTGCACACGTGCTTACTTTCCGTCCCAATTATACTTCCATTTTCCAGTTAAACTTTGTTTATTATCATTCACACTATTTAGATAATCATCATTAGGTTTTTGGTTTTTATTTTTTTCATATTCAAATTTAGACTGATCAGGACGAAATGATTTTGTATCAGATAAATCATTTATTCCCCTACTATTAAAAATAAGTGTTAATATTATACCAGTTGCGAAGCCAAATAAAAATTTAATTGTTAGAAAACGTTGCGTTAAATGAAGACAAATAATAAATATTCGTTGTCCATTTGAATGATGCATCTGAAAGGAAAAAAGATACGAAGAATTGTGTTCAGAAAGAATGGCAAAATTGGATATCGTAAAACAGAACGAAAACGATATTTTATTAAATATTTTCGCACAATAATCTAAAAATAAAAGTAGAAGCCTTATACTAAACGCATCAGATGTTTCTGAATGATTACGCTGAGGTGTAGGATCTAACAAACGGGAATGTGAGGTTGTAGTTTTGGAGTTACTAATATTGTAACTAGATACAAAAAGACATGTTGAATTTTTCAACATCAACAGTTAAGTTTCCGCTTTGCACAATTCAATCTTCCATTATCGCAGTAGAAGATTCTTTCTAATCAATTAAAAATCGTTAACCAATAACTAGACGCGTCATAGAGACCCTCTCAACATTTCCTATTCGATACAAAATTGCACAAATCAAAGCATAATTAGAACTGGTAACGGTATGAAGTATAATTGTTAACATGTTTGTCATAATGATGGTATCCTAGCTTCGTACTGAGGTTTTTCTAAAAAAGAGGAACTAAGGAGGAACGCTACCAAAAAAGGAGTGTGTAAAGCAAGGGGGAAACAGCAGACTCCGTTCGACTCCAGTCGTATGGAGTCTCCTGGAGTCATGTGGAATCAGTTGAGGCGGTCGAGTCTCAAGAAATGTATCTTAATTTCTTTAGATGAATCGTTTTTTCTCAGTGGCCTTGCATCAAATAGTTAGAACTTTGTTGATTTGGATCATTCGTAAGTAGAAATTGACTTTTTTGCTGTTGTTTATAGTCGTCTCCAACATTGATTCTGATCCTACAAAAAAATATTCTATCGGCACTAGTTGTGCACGGGTGCGCACCGGTGCCGAATAATTTTTTTCTGAGCACCGATGCGCATCGGTGCCAGAAAGAATGTAAAAATCTCGCACCGGTGCGCACCAGTGCCAAAAAGAATGAAAAATCTCGCACCGGTGCGCACCAGTTTGTTTTCAATCACCATTTTATTTGGTCAATTTCTGTCTATATTAACGCTACAGTCTACTTCTGATATTTTGAATGTCTTTCTGACTTCATCTTTTCCATCTCATAAGAGAAGTGCCGAGGCAATGTCGCATGGTTTTGGCATGTCAATGTGATACTGATCAGTGCCGCACTCTAATACAAAATTCAGCATAAACAACGATAATAAAGAACTAATTAAATTGATTAAATAAATTATCAGTGCGGCACCGATTTTTGCCAGTGCGGCACTATTTCGGCAGAAATATATTGGCACTGGCACGCACGGATGCCAATCGGCATTGGTTCGGCACTTGATGGGCACGGGTGCGCACCGGTGCGTGGGTACGTTTATTATTAGAATCGAGAGAAGATGAGGCGATATATGACGCATCAGGAAGAATGTGATGTGTGTGTACATCATGCGCAGAATTCGTAAGTTGAAACTTCCTATGAATAGCCTTGAAATAATGATAATGGAAAAAACCAAAGGAGCACTACCAAAATACCTTAGACAAAAAGGAAAGAATAGAAAGAAGTCATATAGGCATATAACTAACACGTCATCACTATGAGTTAAGGGAAATGTTTATATGTACGTTCTTTCTCCTTATAGTACACTTCCAATATCGTTCATTTTCCTTTTCAACATATTCCTGGTTTTTTCCAAATTCATGCCTGTATATGTATATAGTCACCACGTTTCAAATAAAGCGTTCTCTGTTATCAGTACTGGCTAACACCTTCTAAATCGCTCTAAACAGTCACTTTGATGAATGCTTTGAAAAATCGCTTTGAGAACCACTATAATAAATCCTTTTGGTGAACTCTTTGAATCAGTTCTACGTTAGTTTAGAGCTAAAGAAAACTTCTTTGTAAAATGTTGTTTTCGTTTTGAAACATTTTCATTGAAAACTTGATCAAAAGAATATTACTGACCATGAAAATATACAATATATATTTGCGTATTTCTAGGGTGTTTTTAATCGAATAAGCCGAAACCGTTTTCGATCAGTGTTCAAAAGGAGACAGGGATCTCCAAATCGGTCGAGGGTAATTCCAGCCGCTAAGCTATTTTACGTGGGGTAATTCCGGCCGGTCCACTCAAATACATGGAGTTTTCTGAAACAAACCTCTGGTACTTTTCAGAAGTAGATTGAATTTACACAGTATTATTAAATATTCTCATTAATTATGAGCAATTCATAAAAAAATTTCTATATATATCATGGGCTGTACTCTTATGAGTTGAATAAAAAAACGAGACAAAATTTGATTAAAATTAAGGAAGATAATATTGAAACTAGAGTTAGATGTTTATGCAACAAATATCAAAATACTTACAAAAACTCATTCAAAAACTGATTTGATAGCTGTACTGGCGGGCGAATGTGATTAAGGTAAGTACCTAGCATCGCGCAAAATACGATATCTAGTTGATTTTCCTTATTTAATATTACAAAACTTATACAGAATGTTTTATAATCATTGATTATTGTATTATATGTACGGCAGAGATATCGTATTTTGTGCGAAGCCAGGCACTTACCTTAATCACATTCGCCC